CGACTTGTCCAGCTGCAACAACACACGTTGAAGAGGACCCTTGGGGCCTGACAGCACCCACAGCCTGGGGACATCTTCACTACAACCACCATCAAAGGGACACCAGTGCTGGGGACATCACCACCAGCATTGGGACAGCAATTCTGGAGGACAACCACCAGCCTGGGGACATCACCCTGGGGGACACAACAGCTGAGGAGACCTGGATGATGAGCTTGGTGAAGGGCTCCGTGATGATCTTCAGCAGGTCGGGGGCATCCTTCCCGCTGCGGATGTTGAAAGTGGCCACAACCAGGCGTGTGACGTGGTGCAGGTACCCGCTCACCACCTCAAAAAAACCGACAGCCAGTTGAAGCAGTCGTGCACCGTGGCACCAGCAAAGGCCCTGTGCAGAGGAGCATGTCAGCATGGGGTGGCCTGTGGGGAGTAGCCCCCAGTTCCTGAGTCCCCTCTACCCCGACCACCTCTCACCGTTTGAACTCACTGCGGTCGCCAGCCTGCATGAGGGCCACAATGGTGTTGGTGACAGAGGTGCCGATGTTGGAGCCCATGATGATGGGGATGGCAGAGCGCACTTCCAGCACTGGGGACAGAGAGACCCACTAGCCTTGCATGGCCCAGCTCAGGGTGACCCCATCCGGCCACCCTGTCCTCCAGCCTCAGGTCCCCGGGAGCCCTGCGGGCACACTCACGGCCTGAGGAGACCATGCTGACAATGATGGAGGTGGAGGTGGAGGAGCTCTGCACCAGCACAGTCACTAGGATGCCCACCACCAACCCCGCCACCGGGTTAGAGAGGATGGCATTGTCCTTGAAGATGTCCCCAGCCACCTTGCCTGCAAGAGAGCATGAGTGGCAGGGTGCCGGCACCCAGCCACCCAGGTGCCACCGCCACCTTACCTCCAGCCAGCTGGAAGGCAGAACTGAGTACGTCCAGGGAGCACACGAAGAGGTACAGGAACCCGAACATCAGGGGCACCTTGAGAAGGGAGACACAGATGGACTGGACCCCGGCCCAGCACCCCAGCTCTGTGCAAGACAAGAGAGAGTGTTAGATGCCAGCCGTGGCACAGCCCCAGCTCCCCGGGCTCCCACAGCCCTACACCATCCTCCCATGTGCCCAGTGGGACGTGGCTTGTGTCCCTAGCTGTGCTACCACTCCCTGGGTCCCCTCCATCTCCTCCCACCCTGGAGC